CTCCCGGAGATCCGATTGAGGGGGTATTTTACCTCCGGACGATAATTTTGTCCCACTCGAATGTTCCATCATTGCTGTGTGTGAGCTGCGTGAAAAGGTTTAACTGTGGCGGTTACGCTGCCGCACAGTTTCAGCTGCAACTGTAGCACGGGATGGCTATGGCACAGTGAGGACCGCGACGATAGTCCCTTGTGCTACTTTCTCGGCCGGCTAGGTGTAGTTTACTACTCCTTTTCTCCAGAAGGTGGTAAGTCTGAGGGTTGTATAAGGTTATACCGCCTATACTCGGACGTCAGAGCCTCGTTTGTGTAAACAGGCTGCCCCACGTGAAGGTGAGGTTGACTTTTGGGTAAGCTAGGCTATATGTATCGCTTCAATACCCCTTGCACCCTCTGTAAAACTGTCTCAAATACAGACTTTTGTCACAGCTCTGAGACTCTTCCTCAAGGATCGGTCCTTGGCCCAATCTTGTGGAACATTCTGTATGATGGTTTGCTAGTAGAGACCCGCATGCCAGATGGAATTACACTCGTTGGTTTTGCAGACGACATCGCCATGGTTATAACAGCTAGTAGTGAGGAATCCTTGATGAATTTGGCCAACACCGGACTAATACGATACAAAGTGGATGAGGAGGCAAAACCTTCAACTTGCACCTCATAAAACTGAAGCAGTTCTACTAACGACTAAGAGAAAAATAGCTGGACTATATTTTAATGTAGAGCAAATAATAGTTAATCCAGGTAGTGCCATTAAATATCTTGGTGTATGGCTGGACTCAAAACTGACGTTCGGGATACATATTGACAAAACTGTTGTTAAAGCGCAGAAGACGATATCGGCATTGACTAGCCTCATGCCGAATATCAGGGGTCCCATACCATCCAAAAAGCGTATTCTGGCAAGTGTGGTACATTCGCAATTACTGTATGCAGCACCGGCATGGCATACTATAATGCAGAATAAAAAAACAACTGCAAAAACTTATATTGTCATGCTGAAGATGACGCAGAATATACTTTATTTGAATGCCTTAGATAGGATCAAACTAGAAGTCAATATTTGCAAGATACAAAAAAAAGCGTTCAACATAGGAAATGTAGCAAATAGCTTAGTTGACGGGGAAAATGCCTGGGTCAAAGTTACAATGACTATAAGACATATTATTGAAAATAAAGAGAAGGAGTCCCAGATGATGCAAAGTTTGATAGAAGAAGATTAAGGACAACGGCCGCATTGAAGAAATGTGAAAGCCGATTACTCTGCGGTTCTGTGGCAGGGCAGAGGAGGGTTTTTAGCCGGTAGGAATCCGGCACTGCCCTTTGGGGGTGTCTCATGCAAGAGTTTTTCCTCCGCAACAAAAAAAACTTTCCGCCTTCCATTAAATCTACCATCTACTACCTTTGTAAATGTTATGATGATGTAAGTGGTTTTTGAGATACAACCTCTTTTTGTTTTTCCAAATATGGTAATATTTTACTTTTATATTCTCTACTAAAAAAGAAAATATGTTTTATTCTTATGTATATAGAATTTTACCTTGTCATGTGTATATGTATATTTTCTTTTAAATGTTTGTCAGTCCCCTTCATATTTTGCATGAAAAATTCGAATACACGTCACCCATCAAGTTGATAATATCATTTCCGTTTTTGTAAAGCATCGCGTTAGGATGTGAGATGCTGTATATTTCGAAAACACTTTAAATATTTGATGGCAATTTTACAACAGCATTTTACATCATGCTTATACTGCTCATTTTTTAACCTTAACTGACACTTGCTTTAAAAAGGCGTTAGTTGAAAGATGTTTAGTAGTTTTTACAAATACTTAACAGAGTCTATGCAGGATGGAATACTTGGAATTGACGGATAACAAAAAAAACATGTTGGGAAGTTATAGTAGTATTTATTACACATAATATGAACTTGTTTGAAAAAAATGTTTAACTCAAAGAGATGAACAAACAAATTACATTATCAAATAATTTAACTTAGATTCGAAGAAAATAAAAAGAAGAAAAGGAAGTCTTCAAGTAAAGAAGAAACAATTAAAAAAAATATAAAATGAAAAACACGTACAGACCAACAGTGGAGTGAACTGAGAGTTTTTATTTGTCCATCTTGTCATACGGATGATTGATTGATCCAATGAGCTTCCAGATTAAAAAAGAAGTAGTAATAAAAATTGGTCAAGTGCAAGTCGGACTCGCGCACGAAGTGTTCCGTACCATTCATTATCTATACAACATTAGACACTATATTATTATAAACTTTTTTTCCGATTTAGCTGAAATTTTGAATGCGCATATAAGTAATTTAAAAAAAAAAGAAGAAACACATTACTAAAAATTGTATTAATCAATAATAAATATGTAAAAAGTAAAAATAAATATGTAAAAATAAAAAAATAAAACGATTAAAAGAAGTCGCCTTGAGTAGGATTCGGACCTGCCTTACTACGGTTCCAACGTCATAGCAGCGTAAAGTCCTAACGCTTTAACCACGCGGCCACGGAGGTCTTGAAAGATTCTATGTAAAATTCTTACTTAAAAGATAATGTTTAGTGAAAGTACTTTTTTATTTAAAAACATTTATTTAATTCTGTTTTTAGTATTTGTTCTTATAGCAGCAACATAGATACATTACCTGTGAAAATTTCAACTGTCTAGCTATAACGGTTGATAAGATAAACCTTTGTGACAGACGGACGGACGGACAGGATGGAGTCTTGGTAATAGGGTTCCCGTTTTTCCCCTTTGGGTACGGAACCCTAAAAAGATCTTCCAGATCATGATGTCAATCAGTCATAGTTGGTAAGATCGGTTTGAGAGAGTTACTGTCATTTGACAAATTTTCACTTTTCTTTTATTATTAAAATAACAATACCTAATAAATACAATTATTGTATTAAAAAATTGCTTGCCCAAATAATGTTTTGTAATAAGCTTTTGTAATATTTACATATCTACCATCTGAAAATGACGATATTAAAGCATTATTAGTTAATAAATAATAAATATAAATATCATTAATAATTAATATAATATATAATTATTAATAATTAATAAATTAAGAAAAGTGTGAAAATTTGATAAATGTAATTAGTAATTACAGAAATAAATATGTATAATGATACATTTAAACTTTTAGTTACGTAATCGAGGGCGCGATTTTAAAATTCATTGTTGCCCACCATGGACATATTCGACGCCGGGCTGACTAACTGGAATTTAAATTTCCCGCTGGGGATTTAGGTGGTAGCTCTGCTGTAAAAATGTCTAGTTGCCATATTTATTTATTTATTTATTTCCTGACATTGTCATTCATTTTGACACTTTAGTTTTGTATTAAGAGTTTTTGGCTTAAATAAATAGTGTCGTTAAGTGGTGTGATACTTTAAGCTTAAAAATGTCTACTAACAGACTTTGCAGTAGCTCATTGTTCCTTTTAGAACCTCTTTTAGTGCGAAGTCTAGAAGAGAGTTTAATAGCCGTAGAAAAACTCATCCCAACTTTATTAGAATATTTTGAAAGGGAAATCAGTAGTAATGGCCTTTTATGTCCTCCAAGTGCTGTTAAGAAGGTGAGTTTGGTTGATGTAAATAACTGTTTATATGTTTATAATTAATTTATTTTTGTTTTTTTAAATATTTTGATTAAAATAAAATATATACAAATGGGCAACGCTGTGCCAGTCAAGCTTAATCACGCGACTAAAAGTTTATTTGATATGAACTATACAGGGTGTTACAAATTCGAGGTACGAGCATTGGTGTCTCGGTAACCGTAATAGATACGAACATGGTCAAATTTGGGCAAAGTTGCGCTTTGGGATGTTCACCAAGATGCTATTAAAAACATTTTAAAACTTTGAAGGATTGCTGAGTTTTTGGAAAAAAAAACGGATTTTTTTGAAAATCAATTTAATTTTTTCCTGTCGTTACTTTTTAGAAAATCAAAAAACTAATTGTACATTCTCATAGCCATTTTATTAGAGCTACCTGATAGTATTTTTAGATTTTCAAATTAGCTAATAATTTGTGAGGGAGGCTTGTCGTTTGGGGGCATTACTTGAGGTCATTTGAAAAATGAAATCAAAATACATTTCAACATTTATAATAAAGAGTACAAAATGCATTCGGAAGTATAAGAAGATATGTTCAAAGAACAATAAATAAGATTGAACGAAAAATAAATTTGTGCATTAGGGAGGGTGGTAACCCCTTCGAACATGTAGAGGATTCGAAACTAGTTTGTAGAAGTTCTATTTTCAATAAATACGAATAATATTATGCATATTATTAGATCGTACACTGGGATTTAGAATTAACAATAAAAATGTTAAAAATAATATCTTTAAATTGCTGACCTAGATATTATTTATTTGAGTCCTTCATTTGGCTCAATTTTCATTGTTAAATGTTAATTAGCGTTGATCAATATTATTGCGATGAATATAATCAGATTAAATAATTTAAAAAACCAGAGTCAGATTTGAAATTATTTTAAATAATAATATAATTAAATAGTTTTGTTATTGTTAAGGGACCCAAAACAGAAAAAATATCAAGTTTGACATATCATTGTACTAAGGGGATCGAGTTCTTTCAAAACTTGAAATATAAAATGTAGGTCCGTATTTTACAAAAATTAAAGTGGCCTCTGTATCTCATAAACTATCAGCTAATTTGAAAATCTAAAAATACTATCAGATAGCCCTAATAAAATGGCTATGAGAATGTGAAATTAGTTTTTTTGATTTTCTAAAAAGTAACGACAGGAAAACACAAAATTGATTTTCAAAAAGATCCTTTTTTGTATCAAAAAAACTCAGCAATCCTTGAAATTTCTAAAACTTTTTAATGGCATCTTGGTGAACATCCCAAAGCGCAACTTTGTCCCAACTTAACCATCTTCGTAGCTATTACGGTTTCCGAGATACCAATGCTCGTACCTTGAATTTGCACTACCCTGTATATAGTTTAATAAAAAATCTTACCTTATACGCATCACGGATATTAATCATCAGCTTATTCTGAGCCACCGTCCCCGCAATCCCCACCCCGAACGGTATCTTTATTTCCTCCGACTTGGCCAACTTGATAGCCTCATCGAACGACGTATCGTACCTCACGTCGAAGAACTTCGACACCAAATACCTAGCCTCTGGAGGTCCCTTCGCCAGAAACAAACTCCCCCTGTCAGCGCTGGTCAACAGCGACACGTTCCTCAGAATCTTGTGACAGAGCACGTCGATATTTAGTTCGTTCGCGATGTCCCTGATCAGCTCCATGAACAGGTCGGAATCGTCCATGGTTGCCAGGTCGCGGCTTGGACGGACATTTTGGAGGCTGCTGCTGTGGCGACGATTTTGTTGTTCTTGCTTGGTGTCGTGCGAGTACCAGATTTGGAGTCGACCGTCAGAGACGCAGTTGGAGCTGGATCTGGGGGATACGGGTGATAGCGGTGATTGCGGGTGGAGGGGGGTGGTGTTGACGGTGGCTACTCTGGTGGTGGTTGTGGGGTAGCCGAGGGCTTCTAGGGTTCGACGGCGCAGCTCGTCGGAGGCGTGGTCGCGCAGCCACCGTTCTAGTATCGCCGGGTTCGATTCTAGCCACGTCCTGGAAATATATAAAAAAATGTTGTTGTATCGTTTATATTTGTTATAATGTACTGCTTTTAACATTTAAAATGTATGACAACGACGTGAATTTAAATAAAATTTATTATGAAAAATTATTTAATAAATATGGAACCTTATATGTTGACTAGCTCGACAGACTTTTTTATTCCTCATATTTCTTTATTTATTTTGGTTTGGTTTGGATTCACGAAAACAAAATTTTGGCATTTTGGTGAAAGTTTAACACCATGTGGAACAAGTTAATAAAGCGTTGAATTTAAAAATAATTTTATCGTTTAGATGCATCTTTTGTTGATAGCTTGGTTTTTGGTTCATGTCAATAGCTTTTTTTTGGAGATATTCGCTTTTGAAGAAGACACTAACATTTTTTCGTAATTTTTACATTTTTTCAAAAATCCACAAGCAAAGGCATTGTTTTCAGGCAAGTCGACAGACTGTCACTGTCATTGAAAAATCATATTATTGTCTATTGGGCAGTTACTCAAGCAGAGATGTTGTGAAATCCAGAAGTTGAACTCTACCAAGTTCAATTAATGCAACAATAATGGATACAACTTAAAGTGTATACGATAGCTCTGCTTCAGTCACGCACAAGAAACAATAATAATATAATTTTTTTAATGGAAATGACATCAGAAAAACAATAAACTTTATAGCATAGGTGTGTTGATAAGGACCAAAATGAAAGGCATGCTTTTAATGATAAAAATGCTGTAAATCGTTATTGTCTTCTTCAAAAGTGAATATCTTTAATAAAAATAAACCTATTGAGATTAAAAGCTGGATTTGGTTATTTGGAAGGAACAAAAATTAATATATTTTAAACTTGAATCTTAAAAATTAGAAAAAGATGTTTCATTTAATGAAAGTATAGCTGCAATTCCACTATACAGAAAAAAATATCTTCTTGCTAAATTCTTAAAAGTATTCCTGTTCTAATTTTACTTCAAAGCTTCGCAAATAAGAAATAAAACACAAACAATATTACAAATTACAAAGGAAAATTAAAGTTTTCTCGCTGCTGTTATATTGCTTTTAATTCACTTTACATTGTTCTATTTTGTTCAATTTGCTCTCTTCTCTTTAGTTTTTGAGAGGCAGTGGGTACCTGCTTTTAAAATAAAGTGAAGTTCAAAATGAAAATATCATTTAAAACTCCAAAGAAATTAGATATTGTTTAGATGTGTCTTTGTTTTATAAAAGCTTATTCTTCAGTTCATTTTTCCACATACCGTTTTCAAAATATTACCCCCCACAATGTAGGTCCTGCCATATAATAAACTTATTTACTAAAAAAAAACTTTACTATAAAAATACGTTCCTTGTAGCTAAACTATAAAGCAATCAAAGTAACAAAATTGTATGCTGAAATTAGTATTCCTTAAGCTCTAATCATATCTTGAATTAATCCTAAAAAAGCAAAGCACGTATAGGAAAAAATGCCTAATAAACTCGTGAGACAATAAAAAACATAAGTGTGTTACATATAGTCAAATAAGCGACTTTATATTTGAAAGGCATGTGTGTTGTTGAAAATCCAATATCTTTTTATTGCTTTTTCGGCATATGTTTCTTGAAAATACTACTAATAATGTTAACCAGAATATATCCAGAATTTTATTATTGATCTTATAATGGATATATGCTGATGCATACAAATTATTATTTAATCTATACTAATATATAAAATCCTAAATTGACTGACATACTGATTAATCACGATCCTGCTCAAACCACTCAACGTACGAAGCTCAATTTTGGCATACAGGTTGATTCTAGGGTGTAGAATTTTTTTTCGAAATTCTTTCGAAATTCTATTTCAAAGAGGGTGAAACCACCCCTCAAATATTACAATATTTTTTATTTAAAAAACGGTCAAGTTTCCGAAAAAAACGCTTAAACACGTTTTTACATATTTTAAGATTTTTTAAAAATGTATACAGGGTGTTGCTTAATCCTGCTTAATGCGCTTGACGTAAAAAACTGATTTTTGGAAAACAGATTGACTTTAGGGTGTAGAGGTTCGATAAGAAGGGATTTTTCGAAACTCGAATTCTAAGGGGGTGAAACTATCCCTCAAATATTAAAATATTGTTTATTTAAAAACCGGTGAGTTTTTCGGAAAATCTCTTAAACATGTATATTTTATTTTGTTGTTTTACATATTTTAAGATATTTTATATATTTGTACAGGGTGTTTCATAAAATATGACCATTGAGTAATCACGATTCTGCTTAAACTGCTTGACGTTTAAAGCTGATTTTTCGCAAACGGATTGACTGTGGGGTGTAGAGGTTCGATAAGGAGGGGTTTCTCGAATCTCAAATTCCAAGAGGGCAAAAATGCCCCTCAAATATTACAATATTTATTATTTAAAAAACGGTTAGTCTTTCGGGAAAACGCTTGGACAAGCATAATTTATTTGGTTTTTTTACATATTTTTAAATTTTTTAAAAAATCACACAGGGTGTTCCAAAAAGTTAGGTAATTTCTTAACCACGATTCTGCTTAAACTGCTCGACGTAAAAAGCTTATTTTTGGCAAACGGATTTTTCGAAAGTCAAATTCCAACGAGATGAAACTACCCCTCAAATATTAGCAAGTTATATAATAATATCGCCATATTGTTTTTTCTCATGCTGACATAAATGTGAGAAAATTTTATCCAGTTTGTATGTTAATGGAAATTCTTGCCTTGCTTTATCATCACCATTACAAATGATTAATTCGACGCGAACGAAGTCGCTGGTACACGCTAGTATACATATAAAGCCGTAAACATGGTAGGTTAAGAAATACTTATACCGTGGGTAAATTTGCGGTGAACAGGCTGTTCTAAAAAGTTTTCTAAAATATACAGGAAATATTAAAAAATGCACGATTTTCAACATTTTTTTGCGAAAAAATAACTCATAGACGTCCTGGGGTCGAAATATATCAACCCTAAAAGTATTTGCACTTATTTAAGACTCACCCTGTATAAGCGTATTCCGGAAACGCTTGCCGCGTTATAAATTGAAACATAATACATGAAGTCTACAAAAAATTTACTGTGCAGATATCGACTCAGAGGAAGACTCGTTTGCGAGAGCGAGGATGTGCAGCACGACACGCGACGTCAATAATACAAGTCAGATACAAATAATGAGACAGAATAGTAAATGTATGATATCTGTTATTGAAATCATAAAAAATATAGATTTATCTATACTGATTTTGTATACGGCTTTTAAAATTATTAAATGACATTCCACCAATCGGCATGTATGCATGCCATGATTTTTTTTCAAAATTTTATGCCTCTTTCGCGTTGTCTACCAGCATTTAAGTGACGAGAAAAATGTTTGCCAACAATTTTCCCCGTTTCTTAATAATAAATAAAAGCTATTTTCGCAATTATAACTCGTGTACCTTATAATATCTTTAGTGTCCAAATTTCACTCTTTCGATTGGCCGCCCCCGCTTTAAGCCCCGGAATCGCAATGGCAGATATGATTTCATAATGTCTACACAATAGGATACTTCACAAGGAAAATTAGCCATGTAACGATGATAATTTTTTTTATGCAGCCAGCTCTTAGACTAATACAAATGGTGTTATGAACGCTCTTTATGTCAAGCAGAGACAGTGGCTACCCAAGTAGCAAATTTTATTTTATAAAGGCTGTATAAACAGCTATGTGATAATTTTTACAGGATACCTCAATTCATATAACGTGCTATAAGACCGTAATATGATAGCTTTACAACCAAAAAAGGCCCATTTTTATACAACCGTTTAGTAGTATAGAAGTTCTATAAACAGGGTATACAACTCTTATGCAACTATTTTACACAGCGTTATATAACTATTATAAAACTTGTTTTATTGTGTATTACGTGGTCACATCTAAGAAACAGAACAATAAAAACATTTGATCATTTAGCGAGGTAAAAGAGTATTTTATTTTTTACCGAAGAATATTAGGAGCAAATTATATTTTAAGCCTGTCGTAAAATGAATCTAGAGGATGTGGATTGTTAAAAAGGAGACTTTACTCGTCAATGAAAATGGCAGGTAGAGCCAGAAGGTACAACAAATATGTAATATAAAAAATCATTAATAGGGTTTGAAAAGTAGGGACAATTTTTGTTGCGCCGAAAATTTTACTGGTAGATTATAGGTATGTATTTGGCAAAAAATTAAAGCGCTTTAATTTCGATTAAGGTTTACGTATAAATTTAAACAATAAAATAAAATAAAATTTTCAAAAATTTTTGTTTTGAATTTAATTAAACACTTTATTACTGTCTGTGGGAATCTTATCACAAAATAGTTCTCAAAAATAACATTTTACAATTTATTCTGATGTTTTTAATTTTGCTCATATGATGGCGGCCATAGGCCATACAAAAATTCTGCCTTAAATATGGCCAATTATAATGCAACCATTTTATTATAAATGAATCCCTTAAATAAGTCTTTATTGTAAAATAAGACGGTATAGGATAAATATCTATCATTACGCAGAATTTCCAGGCACTATAGAACTATTTTGGACATATTGAGATTTGTGATTAGTATTTAAACTAACAAACATGATCAGATTTTCATGGATTCATGCACGCAATGCATTTCATGCGTGCCCGACGAGTGAGCGGCAACCTAAAGGCTTGGAAAAACAACAATAAAACAATACAAACATTACTACAGTAAAATTTTTACATCAACGTGGCAACAATGCTTTGAAGAAACCTAGGGAATTCTCGGGATTATTTACCGTAATTTCGAGGAGTTTTTTCTGACATGCCCTTTATAACTACCACTGCGTTTGTTAACTTTTTTCCAACTTTGTCCAGAATTCATAATAGCTGTGATTGATTATACTCGTACGTAGATATTACTTTTGCAACAACAACAATAACAAAATAAATAACTAGGTATACCATTTAATTTAAAATGAGGTTATATTATACATTACCAGTTTTATAATGCAGATATTACAGCGAATTTATTTTGTTAATCACAATTTTATCATATAAGGCTATATAACTGGTGTTGTATACAGCACCGTAGTTTAACGTAATAAAACATTCTATCATACAACGTAATACAACTTTAATAAGACAAGTTTAAGTAACTATTATATGATCTTGTGACTACTAATTATATGAATATCATAGAACTCTTACATGGTGGGTATAAGAGCCTAATAAAATAATATGTTTGTTATCATATAGCATTGTCTTATTAAGTGTTATATCATACTAAAAGAAATTATCGTTTAATGCGTTATAGGATACGTTGTAAAAACCACTAGAAAATAGTTTAATATGACAACTTTAATTAAAAAACAGAATGGTCGAAACCAAACGCTTAGTCAAATCAAGCAGTCCTTAAGACAACGCTATTCGACTGTTATAAAATAATTCAATCCTTTTAGAATTTCTTTTTGCTACTTGGGACAATAAACACGGAAATCAGAGCTAATCTTTATTTATGTTTCAGCTTGTTAGAGCTTTTTCACGAGTTTTTTAAAACTAAATATAATTAAAAAATGTCTATACCTATGTAGGGGATTCATCTCTCCAAAAAAATCCTTTATGGGTATTTCGCCACTGCACTGCTAGAAAATCTACAAAATAAAATAGTTATTTTTGTAAACACTTCTGCGTTAAACCTAAAAGGACGCTGCTTATCAAAAGTTATGTTTACGGTAATACAAAGAGGATGTTTAGGTTTAACGCAGAAGTGTATACAAAAAATAACTATTTTATTTTTGTAGATTTTCTTGCAGTGCAGTGGCGAAATACTTGTAAGGATTTTTTTTAATATAATAATTAATGTCACTTTATACTTACATATAGTTCATATCAAATGAACTTTTAGTCACGTGATTAAACTTGACTTGTGACATATTTTGATTAAAAGAAAATGCGTAAAAGTGGTACTGTTGCTCAAAATATTCTAATCTTACAATTCGCACTAAAAGAGGTTCTAAAAAGAACAATGTTCGACTGCAAGGTCTGCTGGTAAACATGTGTAAGCTTAAAGTATCACAACACTATTTATTTAAACCAAAAACTCGTGATACAAATACAAATCTAAAGTGTCAAAACGAATGACAATGTCAGGAAATAAATAGATAAATGTGGCAACTTGACACTTTTTACAGCTGAGCTACTATCTGAATACCCAGCGCGAAGTTTAAATTTTATTTAGTCAGCTCGGCACCGAATATTTCCAAGATTGGCAACAATGAATTTAAAAATTGGTCAAGAGTAAATTGGTCAAGTGCACGAAGGGTTCCGTACCATTTATTATCTATACAACATTAGACACTATATTATTATAAACTTTTATTCCGATTTAGCTAAAATTTTGAATGCGCGTATAAGTAATTTAAAAAAATGAAGAAACACACTACTAAAAATTGCATTAATCAATAATAAATATGTAAAAATAAAAATAAATATGTAAAAATTAAAACAACGATTAAAAAAAAGTCGCCTTGACTAGGATTCGAACCTACCTTACTACGGCTCCAACGTCATAGCAGCGTAAAGTCCTAACGCTTTAACCACGCGACCACCGAGAACTTGAAAGATTCTATGTAAAATACTTAGTTAAAAGATAGTGTTTAGTGAAAATACTTTTTTATTTATAAATATTTATTTAATTCTGTTTTTAGTATTTGTGCTTATAGCGGCAACATAGATACATTATCTGTAAAAATTTCAACTGTCTATAATGGTTCATAAGATAGAGCTTTGTGACAGACGGACGGACGGATGGACGGACAGCGAAATCTTAGTAATAGGGTCCCCGTTTTGACACTTTGGGTACGGAACTCTAAAAATCTGCTAAATAACTACTAGTGGGTAAATGAATTTCTCGATATACAGGGTGAGTTTCCTACGATGTTCTCTATGGGTATCTCGGAAACTACTGGAGATAGAGTGTCGGTTAAATGGGGAAAGAATTGCTGTTTTGTGTTGTCATAAATATGCGCCTTTCATATTTTTGAAAAAGTTCATGGCTTACTAGATATTTCGAAAGAAACAAATTTCGGCTTTTTAAAAAATTGTCCGTAATTCCATTATAGGCTATTTTAGACAAAAATTTTCAGATAAAAGTTGTAGATAATCACATCCTTAATGAGACTGTGTCCTCAGTTTTTTTCTAAAGCCTGTCATTTTTGACATATGACACAAACATAGTTTTTTTTAAATGGAAACCATAGTTGGCCATGACTTCATAAAAAGCGCCATTTTTAAGCTTTTTAATGATATAAGCTATAATATCTTTTCTTCGAAAAATTACTGAGATATAACCAATTCTTATCATTTTTAAACAAATTCACTTAGTTAGCCATGGAAAGAAGTTCAATCGCCGTTGCTCTCAGAAATGTGAAGCTGTCACATCCAAACTTTGTAGGGCACGGCGGTGCAAAAATGAGACAGTAAAAATTTGAGGTAAAAATGAGACAGTGATTTTTTTCTATTATTAAACATCTTTTTCTAAACTCTGATTAAGTAAAAACGTTAAGTCTTCTTTTAAGTTGAGCATGCCTATATTAAATTTAAACAATTATGGCACAGAAAATATCAAACATGATGTATTTGAAGGAATCACAAAAAACACTCATAAAACTTTCAAATAAAAGGCGCTAACTTTTCCCGCCACGGCAGCCTAAATTGTCGGAGCGATCGTTTAAAGTCGGAATATTGTTGTGTTTGTCTTGTGATGCGTTGGAACCATGTGCAACAGTCTTTCTTTGATACCTGACCCGAGCGCTCGTAAAATTATTCTGGGGTAAAATTGAGACTTGTGTGGGGGTAAATGTGAGACACCTGTTGGAGTAAAAATGAGACAGGTAAAATTTGCGTTTTCTACTAGTAACTTATTATTATTCTAGGATAACTGGAATTGTTTTCAAAATGCCTAGAACATACGTTCCTAAATTAAAAAAATATACAGCAAAAGACTTAGAAGAAGCCATAAATCTTGTTAAACAAGGGAAGCTTGGGGTAAGAGAGGCAGCACGACAATTTAGAATCGACAAGTCCAAGCTTAGTAGGTCGCTTAACAACAAAAATAAGTCGAAACAAGGTAGAAAGCAAGCCTTATCAGTGGATCAAGAAGCTGATCTAACCCAAAAGATCACCGTGATGGCTAAATGGGGATTTGCTGTATCCAAAGAAGAAATTAAACGTGTTGTTCAAACTTACGTCAATGAAAATAATTTAAAAACCGTTTTTAATAATGGAAAACCCGGAGATGACTGGTTTCGGACGTTCTGCAAAAGGAATGGACTAAGTCAAAAAAAGATGGAACAGTTGGAAAAGTGCCGAAGAACTGCAACCAGTGACCCCTTTATCATCTATTCCTTTTATGATAAACTTGGGGAAACAATTAAGAAACTGGGATTACAAGATAAACCCTCACATATATTTAATCTAGACGAAACTAGTTTTAATTTAGATCCCGGTAGAGTAAAGGGTGTCTCAGCGATAGGTAAGTTAGGATTGTAATACTTAAACTATTTTTTAATCTAATCCACTTGTTTTGGATAGGACAAAGGGTTCATCGGAGTATCGAAGGTTCCGGAAAAGAAAATGTTACAACAATGGCCTGCATTTCGGCAAACGGAGATCTCTTGCCGCCCTTAATAATATATCAAGGACAAAATTTATGGAGCACTTGGAAAGGAACGCAAGACATTGAAAATACATGCTATGCTGTATCCGACAAGGGATGGATGACAACAGCGGTTTTTAATTCTTGGTTTCAAAAGTTCTGCAAGATGGTCCAGCAAAGACCCCTTCTTGTTATAATAGACGGGCATGTTTCTCACTTGGCTACAGGGACCATAGAGCTTGCCATCCAGAATAACATTACCTTATTTAAACTACCACCACATGCGACTGACCTTTTGCAACCATTAGACAAATGCTGTTTTGGACCTTTAAAATTAAAATGGAATCAAAAACTTATAGAGTGGCAAAGATTAAACCAAAGGAAGCTCACCAAATGTGAGTTTGCAAATATGATCTGTGAACTATGGAATGAGGGAATTTCACGAGATGTCATAAAACGATCGTTTGAAACTACTGGTCTGTATCCCTGTTCTAAGGAAAAATACCCAAAAGAAAGACTTAATGAAGTGAAGCTAAAAAGATATAACGAATGTGCACAACGAGATACTGTACTAAATAGTAGTATGTATAATTTAAATGCCGAAGAGGCTGAAATTGAAACAGTTGAAGAACCTAATAGAGAAGATAAACACAGAGAGGGAGAAGAAAAGATAACAGAACCCGAGGAAAACCAGATAATAAATGAAATTAATTTGGCATCCACATCAAATATTTCAATCGCGGGCACAGCTTCATCGTCCACCACGTTCGAAGAAATTTTGCTTGCCAAAATCAATAAAACAAATCCTGAGACTAAGACAAGACGTAAGATTAATTCAAACTCTGCGGTTCTTACGAGTGCTGAATATTTAGAAAGCATTAAACAAAAAGAAGTCATTCAAAAAGGTAGAGTTCAAACAAAAAAGGTACAAAAGAAAAATATTCAAAAAATAGATCGAGTTCCAAGTTCTTCCTCAGAAAGTGAAGCCGAAGGCATTATTCTTCAAGACGAAAGTGATGTGGATGATATGACGTTAGCTGATCTAGTTGAATCCAATTCAGATAACGAATTTGACACCTGCTCAAATGAGATACATTCCGGAGACTATGTTTTAATAAAGTTTGCTACAAAAAAGAAACTGGTACATTACGTTGCGTTAGTAGAAAATATCAAGGGAAGTGAGTACTGCGTATCGTATATGCGTCGACAAGTGAACAAATTTGTATTTCCCACCGTGCCTGAAAATTATAATGTGGACAAAGACGATATTGTAATGAAATTACCCTCCCCTAGTTGCCAAGGAGGAACCGCTAGAATGTCCCAAAAGCTTGCTTTTCCGATAGACTTTCAAAAGTTTTCTGTTAATTAGCTAAATGTTTTATTATACTTACCCTACGTTCTATTTTTTAAGTAGAATTTACTTATTAGTTTACTTTGACTTGTTTTGTTAAACAGTATTATGAGATTTTTCCCATTTTTTGAAATTAAAACAGTACAAATTAATAATTCACAAAATGTTGTGTGTCTTATTTTTATACTTACCTGTATCAGTCTTTCCCCAGATCGAATAATATGATGGAAACCTTCGTTTTACACCCTGTCTCATTTTTTTCCAAGCATGTCTTATTTTTGCCCCAACGACAGGAAAAAAATGAGACAGAGATTTATTTTTTTTTATTAAAGAAATACTTGTTTTTATGACATTTGGTGAATATAATGTAATTTCCCGTGAAATTTTACCCACTTTAGGTATTTTTTTATTTACTTTAAGGTTTTTTTAATGGGAAAAAAATAAAAAGATATGTAAAATGTCCCATTTTTACCCAACCGCGCCCTAAACTAAAATAAACAAAAATTGTAAAAATGAATTTTTTAAATGAAGAAAAGCGTGTAGATACTCGCTCATCAATAGAGTGACACACCTGCAGAGACGATTAAACTTGTTTCCATGGCTAACTAAGTGAAATTGTTTAAAAAGGATAAGAATTGGCTATAACTCAGTAATTTTTCGAAGAAAACATATTATATCTTATATCGCTGAAAAGCTTAAAAAATGGCGCTTTTTATGAAGTCATGGCCAACTATGGTTTCCATATAAAAAAAATATATTTGTGTCATATGTCAAAAATGACAGGCTTTAGACAAAAACGGAGGACACAGTCTCATTAAGGATGTGATTATCTACAACTTTTATCTGAAAACTTTTTGTCTAAAATAGCTTATAATGGAATTAGGGACAATTTTTAAAATAGCCGAAATTTGTTTTTTTCGAAATATCTAGTAAGCCATGAACTTTTTCAAAAATCTGAAAGGCGCATATTTATGACCCCACAGAACTGCAATTCTTTCCCCATTTAACCGACTCTCTATCTCCAGTAGTTTCCGAGATACCCATAGAGAACATCGTAGGAAACTCACCCTGTATTACGAATTTTTTTGGAACTTTAGTTTCGGAGATATTCATTTAATCGGACATTTTAAAAAAAATTAAATTTATTTTTCAGAAACTATTAGAGACAGAGTTTACCAAAAATGCTTTTTATATATACGAATTTTTTCGGAACTTTACTTTCGGAGATATACATTTAATCGGACATTTTTAAAAAACTTAATTTTATTTTTCAGAAACTATTAGAGACAGAGTTTACCAAAAATGCTTTTTATAACTACTAGCGGGTATAGTGCCCTCGGTTACGTAACTAAAAGTTTAATTGATATCAAATATAGTTACATAATCCAAATCACTTCATTAAACACTATTTATTTTTTAACTAACGAATCTCTCATCTCTCACTCTAACAGTTAATATTTAATTAAACACATAATTCCAAATGCATGAACGTACTTTTAATAATAGTACATTAAACTTAATATAGCTCAAAGTTACCTCCAACAAATATGGCAGCCTTTTAACTATTAGATTTTTTCTATAATTTAATTCCCAATCACGTACCATTTTTATAGCGGAAAATGCAATTTGTTCAATAATTTTGCATCCTCTTTTTGGCTAGTTCCATATTCGACACTCTTTTATCGGCATTTAGTATTCAGTGCTAGAAAAAGATATTAGATTATTTTGTCACTACCTATATTTTCTAACGATTGTGTTCCTCTATATCGAATACACATAATAATATCTGACTGAATTTAGCATTAACCTACACTCACCGGCACGAAAAACAACTTAAAACTTTCATGTATTTTAAAGTTTTATATACAGGGTGGCGCACCTCATTCACCTCGGTTGATCAGATGAAAACGAAAAGATGTAGAAACAAAATATTTTAAGTGTATATATGGAGAGGCAAAGTGCATAATTTAAAATTATTTTGAAATATACAGATATCTAAGATCCATACCAAAGTTATATTTTTTCTTATGGAACACCCGGTATTTTATTTCATTTTTGGATTCTTGAGCCCAAAAAAAGGCATATATATTGTAAGAGTTAAATATGTTTAAAATCTTTGGTTTATGAGATATTTAAATATATTTAAATATGCATGCTACAATAGAATAGATTATCAACGCCCTGTACATTACTTTTTAGAATTAAAAGAAATAAACTTTACTTAAAATGTTATTACTTCCTTAAATCTATACAGGAGTACCAATAATTGCTGATCTATTTTAAGGATTTATTTTTCATATTTATAAACTTTGTTATTTCAAATGAAACACTATGTATATTTTAAAATAAATCAAATGCTTAAAATGCATTCAAATGCTCTTTCAAACTATATTAGAGTTTCCTATACCTATCTATCTTTTTTGAATAAAAATAAAAAAGCTTGAATGTAAAAATCATCATAATAATGTAGACTAAATAAATGATATCTACTAATATGAGCGGAGCATTTTATTAATATGATATTAATAAATGGGGTGCAAGGGGTATTGAAACGATACATATAGTCTAGCTTACCCAAAAGTCAACCTCACCTTCACGTGTTGCACCCTGTTTACACAAACGAGGCTCTGACGTCCGAGTATAGGCGGTATAACCTTATACAACCCTCAGACCTTCTGGGGAAAAGGAGTAATAAAATACACCTAGCCGGCCGAGAACGTAGCACAGGGGAGCTATCGTCGCGGTCCTCACTGTGCCATAGCCATCCCGTGCTACAGTTGCAGCCAAAACTGTGCGGCAGCGTAACAGCCACAGTTAAACCTTTTCACGCAGCTTACACACAGCAATGATGGAACATTCGAGTGGGACAAAATTATCGTCCGGAGGTAAAATACCCCCTCAATCGGATCACCGGGAGGGGGTGCCTACTCGAGCGTATCATCGGAGAAACAAAAAACATCAATGTTTCACGTTTGCGGCGTGGAACATCCGCACTCTACTGGACAAGATAAATTCAAATCGACCAGAGAGAAGAACAGCACTGGTCTCACAGGAACTCCACCGATTAAATATAGATGTTGCCGCTCTAAGCGAAACACGCTTTGCGGATAAAGGTAGTCTCTCTGAGGAGCATTACACCTTCTTTTGGAAAGGCCACCCCGCAACACACAGGAGAATTCATGCCGTAAACATTGCGATCAAAAACGAAATCGCCACCAAGTTAACAGAAGTACCTATTGGTGTCTCCGAACGTCTTATGACCCTAAGGTACCCCATATCAGACAAAACTTACGTCAACATCATTAGTGCCTACGCTCCCACCCTTGACGCTACAATTGAGGATAAGGATAAATTTTACCAAGCTTTACAAAATGCCCTTCAACGAATTCCAAAGCACGAACGAATCATCTTGCTAGGTGACTTTAATGCCCGTGTTGGCAAACAACAGGAAATATGGCCTGACGTATTGGGAAAACATGGAATGGGAAACGTAAATAGCAATGGTGAACGCTTATTAACAACATGCGCAGAGTATAATATTTGCATCACCAATACGTGATTCATGTTGAAGGACAAGTTTAAAGGTACCTGGAAACATCCTAGATCAGGCCACTGGCATCACTTGGACCACATAATCGTTCGAAGGATGCATCTAAAAGATGTTAGGCTCACAAAAGCCAGAATAGATGCCGAATGCGGCACTGACCACCGACTTTTAATTTCAAAAATGAAAATCCAGTTAAAACCCAAACATCCACACTGCAAAAAGCAAAACAACATGACCAGATTGAACGTACGGGGTCTAGAGAACAAAAATACCACTGACGCCCTCCGAGAAGCCATCAAAGAATCACTTCCACCGATAACTTCAATCTCAATATTGGAAACTGGTAGACAACTTTAAATCAGCCAACAACACGCTTCGAAGAGAACTGCGCCAAGTAAAGGATAACTGGTAGTCACAAAAAGCGAATCAGATTCAAGAGTGCGCCACGCATCACGATTATCGTAAATTCTTCGAGGCTGTAAAAGAGGTATACGGTCCAACTAAGAAGGTAAGCTGCCCAATCATGGCACAAAATGGCGAACTTCTAAAAGAAGAAGAGCAAATCAGAAATCGCTGGAAAGAATATTACAGCCATATCCTTAACCAAGAAAACAACCTCAATATGTATAATCAGTATAACAGCCTCGATGTATTAGACATCCCAATAACAGAACAGGAAATAAAGACCTCCATAAAACAGCTTAAAAACAACAAATCAGCTGGCTGTGACGCGATTCCAGCGGAAATCTATAAGTGTGCAAGTAAAGAACTTATTGGTCATCTTAAGGCTCTCTTCGATGTCGTATGGGAAAGCGGAGAGGTACCTCAGGCCTTTCGCAACGCGAACATAGTGAATATATTTAAGAACAAAGGAAGTGCATCAGACTGTGGAAATTACCGGGGAATTTCGCTATTGGCTATCGGCGGAAAAATTCTTGCAAAAATAATGTCAAACCGCCTGCACCCATATATAGAAAAAATCCTTCCAGAATCGTAAACGGTTTTTCTTACCAACCGCGGCACCGTCGATTCCATATTTTCCATCCGTCAACTACAGGAAAAAGTAAAAGAGCAGCAGTCTAAACAATATGTTGCATTCATCGATCTAACAAAACCTTCGACTCTGTGAACAGAGATGCGCTTTGGGCAATTATGAAAAAGTTCGGTGTACCCAACAAATTTCTTACAGTGTGTAAAAGCCTCCATAACAACAACAAGTCAAGAGTGTCACATCATGGATCACTGAGCGACCCATTCCTAACAAATACAGAAGTTAGGCAGGGATGTGTCTTAGCGCTTCTCCTATTCAACATATTCATGGCAGCGCTCTCCATTATAGTGGACAGCAAACTGCAGGAGAGAGGATTGGGCATTAGATACAGATATGACGGCGGTCTGTTCGACATAAAAAGACTCAGGGCAAAAACACGTACAAAATTTATCACAGAACTTCAATACGCTGACGACTGCGCTCTAGTTGCAAACACGGTACAACAATTACAAGAAATGTTGAACACATATACCTGGGCATACGAGGATTTTGGCCTTAAGCTAAACATCGACAAAACTAAAATCATGTGCACTCCCCCGGAAGATCACAACAATGCTATAAAAATCGGAGAAGTACTATTGGAATATGTGGCGGAATTCAATTACCTTGGCAGTGTGATTTCGGAAAGGGCCAATATTGACTTTGAAATTCAGCACAGGATTAGTAGCGCCTCAAGAGCATTCTGGAAATTAAAAGACAGGGTTTTCTACAATCATGACTTGAGTACAAAAACAAAACTTGCAGTGTACCGAGCAATTATAATCCCCACCATGTTATATGGGAGCGAAACCTGGGTGCCGTACCGCCGACACATGAACGCATTAAACAAGTTGCAACAGGGACACCTTAGACAACT